GTACTATGACTATGAGAGCGTAGTTAGGCTAGGTGTGCGTAGTAATCACGGACCGAGACGGGTGGTCCGGTAAAGTACAATCCAGCCCAATAGTCCGCTATTTAGCGGATTTCCGCTACCGCCATTTCCTCCGCTAAACTCCGCTACCGCGACAGCGGGCCAATCAGAAAGAGAGTTGTTGGGAGCAGGATGACTGCCAGGCCCCGGGATTGCCGGGAATTTTTTAAAAATCGCAGAGACCCGGGAAAATACATAAAAGATCTCGAATATTTGAAAACCAAATCCAATAACGTCTTTAAGTTCATTTCTGCTGGTCGCGATTAATTCGGGGGAAGATTGAAGAATACACCGGACCACTCGTACATTATTGCGCGAGAAAGTGGGGCGGGTGGTTGGGGTGGAGGGGGGGTTCAGGGGGGTCTCCCCCCTGACAAAATTTTAATGAATAGATCTACCGGTCCGAGATTCTCCATTGAGAGATTTTAAAAACGGGAAAATTATGAATTCCTAAGGCCTAAGGTTGAGACAGGCAAAGTCAGTCCGCTGGTCTGGTATTCTTCAATCTTACCTAATTCGGCTCTGAGAGTACGTTTCGCGTGAACTGGCGGCTTTGGCGGCAAGCGGAATTGTGTCACCGAGACTTGACTGGAAAATCAAGATCTACTTTCACTTTCGTTACCACCCAGAAGTTTGTCAGTAATTGTCTGATAACGCAACATTTATTGTAACATGCAGGTTCGGCATTACAAACGTGGTGTCGCCATGAAAATAAATCAATATTGTCACCGTGCTGTCACTTGTGGGGGTAACACACACACACACACACAAAAGAAAAAAACGAAAAGAAAGTTAAGCGCGTCTTGTCGGGCTCGCCATTGTGACCGGTCAATGAATCTGTGCACGTTCTGAGCGCTTCGAAGTACAGGACTCAGGAATGGGGGGGAGATTATTTATTGATTTTTGTTTTAAAGACGCACTCTGGGATGGGGGAGGGCTGGACGCAACACAGGAGGACAAACAAACTGAAACTGAAAGCAAATGTTCTTACATAAAAGTTACTGGACATAAAAGTGATTTATACCTACCAAAATCTGCGTAATTCAACCGCCTAAGTGACAGGATAACGGCATCTAGGCGTTTGAATCACATTAATCAACGCCACTCGACGAGCGCCAATGATCGCTTGGACGTTTGAGTTATCAACAAAAGCAAATCATAATAAATGTAAGGAGTAATTATTATAAAGTGAGTAATTATTTAAGCTATTTGGTTGGGTCTTCTGGAGCAGGACTGTTTTTGGCGTCATGAAGTTGGTAGAAAAGACCATTCCTTTACGTTCAATTTGTTCTGGATGTTTTTGATCAGTGTGTATCAAAGTAAGGCAACGAACGTTTGTGGCAACGGGGTTGTTCTTGTTTCAGCCAAGTCTGAATGGTCCAGATATCAAACATCAAATGGGTGGGGGATGGGGTGGGGTATTGTCTTTCTTTCTTAAAAACATTCAAGGTTATCCATGAGCACATAGACCAGACCATTTTCAGGGACCTTTCGATTACACTTGTGGGCTGTCCACTTCCATTTGCGTTTGTTCCTTTTCAAGGTATTTTTGTGTTCAACAGCTTTGCTCTATTTGGCACAAACATCAAAGATTGCATATTTGTCAAGATCTATAGCATTTGGTCTGATAAGTATAGCAGTATGAACGTGGCATATTTATTGTCAGAAGGCTCCTCCAGGAAGTTACTGACTCTTGAAGAGATTTCATTGGCAATCAATGGTCCTTCTCCTTGGTACCAAACGTGACACTTCACATCTTTGGTTGCCAAATTTTAAAAAAATGTATTATATAGATTGTTAATTTGGTCCTTATGTTTATAGTGCAGTAGATGCGTTCAACGCCGTACTAACAAGTCCGCTTCCAAGTCCATGCACACTCGACATATCTGGTCCCATCCATTGGGTTTTGTGCAAGCTTCATGTTAGATTCTTTCTCCTACCTTGCATACTTCACATCGATCCTTCCAACACATACAACAACAGGTTGCTCTCTTTTTTTTTTTTAAATCTCTGTAAAGTCGTCTGGGATAATGTGTGACTCTTTCCGTTTTCTTTGGTACTCTCTGTAAAGGTCTCTGAGGATTTGAAACCGCACTGATAGTCAAGATATATTGCCTGTATTCTGTTTGTAGTAATGGGAAAGCGATTTCGTCAAGTTTGTCGAAGAATTACTTCACAAAATTGCTTTTTCTGCTGTATGGTAATATGACAATCGTTGAGCTCCCATCTCCAAGTCTTGTAAACTGTCTTTGCAACAGTCACGAATAACCACTTTTGTGAATGCATTTGTAAACAACCTCATTGTTTTGCATAGCAGAATGTATGAGATTTGTTTCAAATGGAAGTGTAGTGCAAGGGGCACAAATTTAAAATAAATTACGAAACGTGAAAAGTCGCAATAAAAAAGATATTTTCCGATAATTGTACCCAAATGTGAATTAAGCGCTCCTTAACTGTCAGTCATGAACTTTTTGAAAAATTCATTCGTCTGTAGCTTTTTTGCCACAATTTACTGACTTGGTCGAGTCAGTATTAACGTATACTGAAAATAATTAAAAGTAAAGAAACATAACTCAAACTTTTCCGCTGGTTTGCCAATTTTTATCGAAATTGTGTTTTTTAGCTCAACACCTTCTGTGTCCATTAAAAAAACCTTTTCAGTGTGAATTATATTTTAAAATGTTGATTAAAGGCATATATATAAAAAATGTAAATTGTTAGTTTCCGCCAACTCTGAGGCTTTGTATATATAACCAAACTTTAGCGGCCCTAACTAATTTTACCTCTGAAACCAGACAACTCCCACCTCACTCAATCCAAATATCTCGACATGTACTCAATTTAAGATAAGATAAGATAAGATTTAACTTGATTATCCCAGATGGAAATTTTTCTTGGTTGTACGGGACTGTAAAAACACATGCAGGTATACTTAAAAAATCTAAATTATATATTACTCTCATTAAAATTCAACATGAAAAGAGAACTAAAGCTGACAAAATGTACATTATATCACATCAGATGCATCATTCAACCATATGCAGGAATTTGATTACAAGATCTGTGGAGTTTTATAATATTCGCAGGTACATATAACTAAGAGCAATACACATTATTATGCTTTTCTGACAATAGCAGATGCTAGATCTATACATGGTAAAAAACCTCTTTTATATCTTTCTTTCTTTGTTTTTGAGGTACACATCTGCCCCTGCGTGATCTTACAATTTGCGTAGAAAGTGGGTGTGATGGGTCGTCTTATTTTTTTAATGTGGTGTTATACATTCTGATTTCATCAGTTCTAGAGATTTTGCTGGCTTTCTTTTAAAATGGTTCTGTCAAATTTTTCTAAGTATTTATCTTACAATTCTCAGCCCAGCAGCAAATACAAAATAATAACTCGCTTTCAATCATAGAATGGTACAAAAGGGACATAAAATCTTAAATTATCAACACGGAAACGTCTTAATTTTCTTAAAAGGAACATTCTTTGATTTACTTTTTCATACACAAGAGCGGCGTGGGGATGCCAGTCAAGTTTGTTACCAATTGTTACTTGTAAGAGCTTACCACCTCCACTTCCTCATCTTTAAATGGGTAATTCTTTCATCGAAAGCAAGGCAAATGAACAAGCTAGTGGTGATACCAATATGTCCACATGCCAAAAAATTGACGAGCGCCTGCCACCACGTCATGACACATAGGCATCGTGGTGAAATCAGGCGCTCGTCAAAATAATGCAATCGAAGAGACTGACATAATAAAGTACTATCTTATCTTATCTTATTTTTCTGTTCGTTTAGCAATTTGTTTTTAAAAAAATTTTTGGGGGACTCAACACCTTATATAGTATAGTCCATTTAAAAAACACATTTCTGTGTGGATTTTAGTTTTACTGTATGTCAATTTTGGGGCATCTGGAGTTATTGATATCATCTTAAAGCTTGTTCATTTGTCTATCTTTTGATGTAAATGATACACATGTAACTTGAATAGAAGTCAAAACATTTGCAATTAAAGGAAATTGGGGTCACCTTGTTTCAGAGGTAAAATTAGCGAGAACATTTCCGAAAAAGTTTGGTGATTTCCAAAGCTTGAAAGTTCTTGGAAACTGGAAATTTACATTTGTTGAGTGTTTAATCAACGTTTTTCCGCCAAATACACCTGGGATATATATAATGTTTTTGAATGGAATAACAGGTGTTGAGCCAAAAAAACAAATTAGAAACAAATTGTCAAACTTGCGGAAAATGGCGATTTCTTTGATTTCTTTATTTTGCCAAGCGCCTGATTTCTCCACGATGCCTCACATATTGCTTTTATAGAATTATTACGATGACCCTTTGTTTTTCCATTATAATGTATATTTTGTCTATTTCACAGAACTTGCCATCCTGTAGAAATGACTGACTCTACAGAAAAAGAAACATTGCAGCTCGTGACCAACATGTCCCCCTCAAAGATCACCCAGTATTTTGAGGCTAAAAAGTCTAGAAGAAGAGGTAACGTTTATGGTAATAAGACCGGATACATTTTTAATGTACTGAATTTTCAAGCTTAATGAAGATGAAAGCTGTTCTTAAGATTACACGGTATTGTAAAAGTATAGCCTTTGATATATTTTGTACAGTTTTATAATAACATTTAACCCCTTCCATGCCGCAGATAAATAGGCGGCTCAGGGGTGACCCCACTCTGCCTTCATATAACTTTTTTATTTATGAATATTTCGTCATGAATTTCTGCATGTGCATTCTACATTGAACCACGTTTCTATTGATATAATTTTAGGGAGATTTAATTGAGAGATAGATGGAGAAAAGTTGGAGTTAGTAACATGATGCCAAAAACAACACCACCAAACAACACACATTCGAATAATGGTAACTGAGACCAAAAAAGGGGAATACATGTTGTGTAAGTGTCTGCAGGTAAGAGTGAAGTGACAAGAGGCTTTTATTCTCCTACCGTATACAACGCTCGTAAAATATATACATGTAAGCCCATCTGTATTCACTGCCGTCTATTTTGTACGGTAGACGTGTTGGATCTAGGTCTAATCTTCTCTTTGAGCTAAAATAAAATCTGAATCTGAAGCTTTCAAATGGGGGGAAAATGGTGGTAAACATAAAGAGAAGGTATCTCAATAATAATTACAAGATTTTAGCAGTAACCTCCCCTATACAGTCGAACCTGTGTAAGACGGCCACCCATTGTCAAGGAGAAAAGTGGCCGTATAAGACAGGTGGCCGTCTTAGGCAGGACCGAACAAGATGAAAACAAACCTTTCCTTTCTGAGGTCCCAACCGAAGATGGGCGCATTGTTGTTGTTGTTGTTTTCGCTGTTTTGTTTTTTTTCTTTTGTTGATGCTTTTGTGCGAGGGTGACAATATAACGAAATGTGTCAGACAAGGAGGACCGAGTGCTATGGTAAAACAAACACATGGGTCGCCACCACTCGGAGAACGAGGGACGCTTCTGTCACAAGTTCATGTTGGCGTCCTTTGTTACTTTGTTTCAGACTGGATAAACAGTGACCACTCATCTCACTTACAATTTGGGTATAAGTTCTGGGCGGGGCTTATGGGTTATGAGGGATCACACGCTTACCTCACCAGCATCTGAAAATTTGTTACCTATTGGTCAACAGTGGGAGGGGCCTATGCAACATGATCGGTTGGAGGGACTACCTAACAACGACAGGTGATTGGATTATGGCGGCTCGCCCACAACGCCTGGGCACAATTTATGACAAAACGTAATTGAGTCACTAAGGTGGCCGTCTAAGACAGGGGCTATTGCTTGGTGTGACAGGGGTTAAATTATGGTGGCCGCCGCTGTTTTGGACAGGTGCACGTTTTACACAGTTAAATTATATAGAAAAAACACAAGGGGGAATGGAAAGTGGCCCTTTGTACAGGTGGCCGTCAGGACAGGTTCGACTGTAATTGGTATCAGAACAACTTCTGTCACAGTCCGTAAATTCTACGGGCCATAGGAACAGCGCTACACTGTTCAAGCCCTAAAGTGAAATCTACCTGCGCAGCAGTGAAGAGGTTAAAGGGGTTTCTCAAAAGTTAATTTCAATGTGTGGAGGTTTACAGGTTGGTGTGCAACTGTTTATGAAATTTTTCCAAGATGGTAGGCGCGACTTTTAGAATACTCTATCTCAAACAGTTTTCATGTAGCTGGATAAAAAGAAAAGTACTGCTCTGCTTTTGGGGAAATATATTATGCCAATCATTATTTTTAAAAGTTTTTTTTTGTTTTGTTTTTGTATTTTTAGAAAATCAAAATACTCTCAACAGCAATACGTTCTCGTTTGCTCTGATTCTTACTTTACTTTTACTTTTTCATCCTCTGTTGCCATTAAGCGTCGAGGGGAGATGCAGTTTTCTATGGTAGGCCAGCTCCGCAGCTCTTTCAGTTGTGATGTTATGTTTTCGTAGGGTTTCCTTGACACCCTCGATCCACCTTTTGCATGGCTTTCCTCTTCCTTTATAGCCTGAGTGTTTGCTGCTGTAGGCTCTCAAGGCTGGCTGGTCAGGTGACATGCGTAACAGGTGGCCAAACCATTTTATCCTCTGTCTTTCTTTGTAACGCAGGCAGGACTCAGTGCCGATAGCTGCTCTCACTTCTTCATTTCTCTGCTTGTCTCTTCTTGTGATGTTAAGGGTTTTGCGGAGACATTTCATTTCGCATGCAGTGATTTTGCTTTCATGGGTTTTGCTTAAGGTCCATGTCTGGCACTGATAACATAATGTTGGTATGAATATTGAGGTGATAAGCTGTCTCTTTGTGTCCATGGAGATGTTTGGATGAGATAGAAGAGGTGCGAGCTGGTAGGTGACAGCGTTGGCTTTTTGAGTTCGCATTTCTATTTGCTCTGATTCTCCTTCCAAATTTCCAGGTGCTGTCAAAGCTGAGAAAAGCAAAGAGGCTGTTATCGAAGCTGGGTCGGTGTACCTCACTCCAGAGTCGTCTCCGGGCAACACCATCAAAGAAGGGATGGGAAAAGACCCTGAGATCACTCCAGGGCTCTTACATAGCGTTACTGGAACTGATGGGAGCACCACACATTCTCAACAAAATGGAATCGTTTCGGATCCACCGAGAGTTCGTCAAAAGTCTAACCCGTCCTCGGCTGGAAAGACTGCTTCAGAAGTTGGGGGGAGCATTGAAAATTCAAACCCTGCTAGGTGCATTTCATCTTTAGTTGATGACTTAGACTTACAAGTCAACCCTATTCAGGATGTTCCTAGTACAAAACCTATAGCTTCACCAACTAAATCAAAAAAAGACAATGTTTCAGCATTTTCCGGTGATTCGTCTGTTGCATCTCCATCCATTCCGAGGTCGAAACTCAGGAAAAGTGCTAAATCTGGACAGTCCATGGCTTCAGCAGGTTCAGAACCTGTCAAACCGAAGCCTGGAAGAAGAAAGTAAGGATTGTAAATTGTGTACTGTATATTTTGTATTGTGTTAGTGTGTTTAATATAATTTTGTTGCTATTTTTCTGATATCATGTACTTTAATTGTTAATGATAGGAATGCAGGGCTGTTGGAAAGTCTCTAATCCTGATTTTCTCCATGAATTATTAAAAAACAACAACTACCATTTGACTTATTCAGTTAAGTAGTCATATAAACATTTTTTGGTTGGATTTGAAACTGAATTCCCTGTGAAAGGTATTCTGAAAATCATATGTTAAGCCGCAAAATCAGGATCACAGAGGAAGGTGAAGAAGCTGTAGGGAGTAGAGGACATGAATTAGCTGCATATGAAACTTTCACATCAGTGTGTATCTTGGACACGGTGTTCATTATCTTTTATTTCATAGATCAGGAGGTCGGCAAGCGTTTTGGTTTGTTTTATTTTCTTCTTCTTTGTCTTCTCTACTTTTATTATTAACTGTTTTCCTTCTTTTAATGTCATTTCTGTTATTGTTTGATCCACAGAAAAAATGTTGTGGCCCAAGTGAATACTATAACAGACTATTTCCCAGTGCGACGCAGTAGTCGGCAAACTAAATCAGAGATTGAGGTATCTGACATCATAGAGTCTTGTCAATTAACATTGGACTGATTAAAATATGGTTGCCTTCAAAGCAATACTGTCAAACCTGTGCAAAACGGCCACCCATTGTCAAGGAGAAAAAGAACCGTATAACACAGGTGGTCGTCTTAGGCAGGACTGGTCCAAATGAAGAAAGCAACTCATTCTCTTCCGAGTTCCAAACCGGGGATGATCTCAGACTTTCGACTGCCGTAAGGCTAATTCTGAAGGGTTTTTATTTTCTTTTGAAAAAGGGGGGTGGGTGGTGTAAGAAGGGTTTTTAGTGTTGTTTTGATGGTAAAACAAACACACGGTCGCCACCACTCAGAGAACGAGCGACGCTTCTGTCGCAAATTCATGTCAAAGTCCATTGTTACTTTGTCACAGATTAAGTAAACAAAACAGTGAACAGTCTCCTCGCACACGATTTGTGCACGAGTAAGTTGTTGGCGGGGCTTATAGGTTATGACAGATCACTCTACCCTCACAAGCAGTTGACAATTTATTGTTAGGCCTACCCATTGGTGAACCTGGGTAAACATTCATTGGGGGTACTAACAATAACGACGGGTGAATGAATTATGAGGGCCCGTACACAGCGTGAGGGGCTGATTCCAAATTTTTAACAAAGCGTTGGGCAACGCGTGATCACACCTGGCCACCTGATGCAGGTAAATTTGACAATGGGTTGATAAAATAAGGTGACCGTGGGCGTGTTGGACAGGTGTCCGTTTTACACAGTTAAATTATATTATGTAGAAAAAACGCAAAGGGGGAATGGAAAGTGGCCGTTCGTACAGATGGCCATCATGGCAGGTTCGACTGTATTTCATTCCTATTGCCTGGCATAATGTTCTGCAAGTGTTTGATGGAAAAACTATTGCCCATGATATTGCATTAATTATATGCGTTACTGTAAAAGAAACCGCTCTAGTTTCTGGTAAGGAAGAAGCAGTTCATACATTTTAACGTCTAATATGGCTGCACCAGGATCAGAGGATCCTGAAAAAGCCCGGCAAAAAATCATTCTTGGGAGATTTTGTTAGGACCAGATTATATTCTTGGCCCTCAGTGAGTACATTAACCCCCTGCACTGTACAGTTTAAAATTTTAAAAGATATGCGAAGATAGTATCATTACCAAACTTTTTACAGATATCCATAGATGGTGTCATCACCAAACTTCTATGCTTCTGCATTTCTGCATTGTTTATGAATATGTAATTTTACAACAAACTTCTGGAATAATTTGAAGTTGTTTAGGGAAGAGGCTAGCCGTACTTATTCTTAATATGATGGCGATGGCTAGACTGACCATTTACAAAAAATAGGCCTACTGAATTGTAAATATACATTTTTAGTTTAGTGTGCAGTACCTAAAGTATTTGTATTTGAGACGAAACCAGGTGCCTAAATGACAGTGCATGTATTTTAAACCTCCTGTTTTCTAATGTTAATAGGGCCTAAAATAAGTACGGCTAGACTGGCAGACTTCTTGTCTAGCCGTTCTTAAGTACGGGTAGACTGTCAGGCTAGCCGTACTTAATATTGATGGCTGAATTGTAAATGAAATTTTTAGTTTGCAATGCCTAAAGTATTTGTATTTCAGACAAAACCAAAAGGTGCCTTACTGACTTGCATGTATTTGAACCTGAATAATTACTAGATCTAGATCTAATGAGACCTGTGTACTTAACAGGCTTGAGTCGATTGGGCCAAACCTAGATCTAAGTATGGCTAGACTGGCAGTCTAGCCGTACTTAAGTACTGCTAGACTCTCAATCTAGCCGTACTTAAGTACGGCTAGCCACTTCGTTTGTTTAGTTCTAAATGGAAACAGATGATAAAACCAGTCATTCTTGCAAAAAAAATTTTAGTGATCATCAAAAATAGATTGTCTTTGAGTTTTTGGGTGGTTTTTTGTTTGCCTTTATAGAGACATTTCTGTTGAAATTTTCTTTGTACAGAGTAAGAATACTTAATACTATATTATTTATCGTTACCATGTGGCAACTGGTTTTTTACATTATGGTGTTATAATTTTTATTAGGTTGCTGACTAGGTTTGTAAATATTCTTTTTTATGAGTGCCAATTTTAGTCACATGGTCTGGAATTTGGGAGGGGGGGGGAGTGTTGCATGTATGCGTACTTCTTTGCATCTTTTTATTTAGTTTGTTTTCTGGTTTTGCTTACAGTAAGAGTTAGAGGCAACCCAAATTCCAAATTGTTGGAGTTCTGTGCTTGTGCTCATCTGGTAAAACATTTTTTCCTTTCTTTTTTTTCAGAAGGAGAAACATTCCCTACTGGAGAAGCTGATATTGTCCAAGTGTGAAGATGGATTAAAGGTATTTATTTTTCAGTAGTTCATCTAATTCACCATTTATATGTCTTAGAGGTCACAATGATAGTAAGAAAGAAGCCCATAAGCCAGTTGGAAAGACTTTTACTGAAACATTTTCGCTGTTCTTGCAGATCTGCTTAGAATGGTTTGAATTTATTGCTTGCTGAAAAGTGTGTGTGAAGGGTTTGGAGGTAGGTTACTTGTCTATGCCCACCATCTTGACAAGCTGCATTTATGGAGAGTCTAGTTTTTTGTTTTGTTTCGAAAAGCTGGCAGCCGTGTATTGATTTTTACATTTTTACATGCCTCCCCCCTCCCCCTCCCCTTCTCTTCACAAAATTTGGACTGCATAAATTTACGGTTTTTAGTCCACAGAAATATATCATTTTTTAAACTGTCTTTCTAGATTTCAGTGTTGACACTTGTCTTTAACTCAGTCCAACTTTAAATCATAAGTGGGCCCATTTTGAGAAGTTTTGTATTTCCTGTGTGTTTTAACATTTTTATAAAAATTTCTTTTGTTGGGTTTGATCGGAGAATAAGAAAGTTTGAGTGTATGAAAACCTCTGCTGAAAAAATGACATTAGTTGCAGGAAAAATATTGGAGAAATCTACCTTTTCTTCACGTTTTCAACTGCTTTTCCTTCATGTATTCATTTGGAGTACTCCCGTTCTTTCTAAGATGTAACTATATCCATTTCTGAGGAAGTTGGTATTGATTGACAAAATGGAATGGAGCTAACAATAGGTCAAAGCAAGCTGGCAAAAATTTAAAATTGTGACTAATGTAATTTTTCCTGTGCTCTTCACATGTTAACTCTTTTAGGACGTAGCAGATAGATATACATGACAGCAGCAGACCACAGGCAATGTTGTGGCACATTTGGAACCATCATACACACAAATCAGAGGCACCAATGTATGCAGATTTCATAGTATGCATGCACATTCTTACCTGCCGTTTAAATTACAGACACCGAAAACAACTGAAAAATATGTTTAATTATAGATTAATTATAAAGAAGTTATTCTGCCTTATGAAAGTGCCCCAAAACAAGGCATCTTCAAGTGTAGTGGGATGACCACAATAGATGTCCTCAATGAATTAAACTGGTTTACGACCAAGCCGCTGTAGGTGATTTCCACATTTCCTTCCTCTCCTACAGATACAAGACTTTGACAACAAAGGTAGAGGAGTGGTGGCTACGAAAAATTTTGACAAAGGTGATTTTGTTGTGGAGTATGCCGGAGATCTTCTGGATATACCAACAGCCAGAGAGAAAGAATTGGAGTATGGAAAGAATCCTGAAATTGGATGCTACATGTACTTTTTCAAATGTGGAGAAAAGCAGTACTGGTGAGTGTGCCTTTGTCTATACAGTGGAACTCGGATTCAACGAGGTCGCCGGGTCTGAACTAAAACCTCATTAAATCCGAGTTTTCGTTATAGCAAACATGAGGTTTTGTGAAGATAATTACGGGCACCGAGCAAGTGATGTATAAAGAGAAGTAACAAGTAGCGCCTGAAATGCCTGCATATTATAAGCTGTGCAAAAAAAGGACCAATTGGTTCAAATGCACGCCTGTGTCGTCTCAATTGTTTGCCAAAAAGTTGTGTTGCTGTGTAGAGCCTCGCATATGGCAACTTTTCATTCCATACACCAGCGCACAATTCATTACGTAGATCTATGTCAAGGCTAGCTTATCATTGTAATAATGATCAGTTGCCGGGGGGAAAAAAGACTGACGCTTTTGTATCTGCGACGTTCCATGCCCGGAGCGCTGATCCCGTTCAAATGTAGGCTAGGTGCTCTTCAAGTCAATAGTTCCCTAAATTCCACAATTGAAATCTTTGAGATATTTCTGTATATGACACAAAACTATACACATTTACGGTTGAAAATTTTGCAAAACTCAAACTGGAAGCTTAGAAAACTTGAGGAATGTTCCGTATAAAGAGATGCACCCTTTCTAAATAAAAAATTTTTTCCAGACAATGGCATTCTTGGTATGGAGTCTACTCGTGGATGGAAAACTACAAGAGCTTTCTATGGCTAATTTTTCAGAGGGCGAGAGAACACATTTTTATTGATTTCACGGGTCACGAAATGTTATCTTAGTTTTTAATTAATTTTTTTTTCGTTCCCAGTGTGGATGCCACTGCTGAGAGTGATCGCCTGGGTCGCCTGCTTAACCATACCCGCGAGGGCAACTGTTGCACCCGCGCCCTGATGGTGGAGGGGATCCCTCGCCTCATCCTGGTCGCACAGCGCGACATCAAGGCGGGCGAGGAACTCAGCTACGACTACGGCGATCGTAGCAAAGCAGCGTTGGAGGCCCACCCGTGGCTTAAGTCTTAGTAAAGCGCTAGTGCTAGCTCTTTCAGACAATAATGAAATGGTCCCATTTTGAAAAATAGTCTCAGTGAATTAATGCTGCTCACTCTCAGTTAGGAGCTGTATTAACCACAACTCATACTGCTCGTTCTCACATAACGCACACACATATACACAGATTTATGCACACAAAGACACATAACTCACACACATACGCGCACACACATACGCACACACACACACCTCCTTCCCTCGTGAATAACAACTTCCAGTGAGGCAAACAAGCTATTTCGAGACTGATCTCTTTCACTCTCCATTATGACCTTTATCGTGGACAAGTAAAATGGAGATGTAGTACAGAGGGAGGGACCACTTCATACATTGAGAGGCTTTTTACTCCACGAGGTTGTCTTGCCACTCTGAGAAATTGTCTCAACAAGAATTTTATCCCAATACATGTTTTGATCTTTTACTCAGTTAACTAAAATTTGCAAATTTGATGTTGTGGTGAAAGTCTTGTCATTGATATCATATTTCATGGATGTTTTTCTAGGGTTTTTTGTTTTAGAATTTATTAACCTCAATGTTTGCCAATACCTCAACAATGGTGTGATCTCCTGATTCTGCTTCCTCTTCATCTCCTTCCTCTACGACGGTCATTGAGGATGAATCGAGTAGGTTATGGGAGGCCACTTCTGGTAAGGTCCAACTTCTGTACTTTTTCTCTCTCTCTCTCTCTCTCTCTCTCTCTCTCTCTCTCACTCACTTCATCTCTCTCTCTCTGTCTCTCCATCTCTTTCTCTCTGTCTCTCTCTCTCTCCTGCCAGTCCCTCTCCCTCTGTCACTCTCTCACTGTTTATCCATTTTCATTTATTCAAGAAAATCTGGGAGGTTGTAATATTTTCCCTATTTCCATTTTCCTTTTCCGGTGCCTTAAATGGGCAGTGTCCTAAAAGTAGGATGATGTCACTGTACCTGATTTTGGCAGCTGTGTGGGAGATCTATTGTGGTTCCCCCAATCCCTAGGGTGAATCTAGTCATGTGGGTCAGCGGTTGTGAAAAAATTAGAATGGAGATTTTTGTGCTGCACATAATTGCTTGGTATAATTATAATGAAATACATCCCAACAAGGAGTAAGTGAGTGGATCTAATCCAGTGGTTAGAGGCTGTGACAGATAAGGAATGGACAGTTGGATGCCCGTAATTTCTTGGTTTGATAGTTAAATACATCTCAACAAGGGGAAGCCATCTCTTTTATGTACACTTTTCTGAAAATTTACTTTCTACCCCTCCTGATTTTTTTTTTCTTGTAGTTGTAGGCCAGATGAGTTTAAATTTTGTTTTCTTGACTGTTGAGGGTGCCTTCTATTTCAAACCTTAAAAGCATTTAATATAGCAAAAACTTGTGAAATCAAAATGTCTAGGGTTGATAGGCTTATATACAGTTGCACATGAATGGAGATTTGTTAGTTGTTATATAGATATAAGATAAGATAAGATACATCTTTATTGTCCAGATCCTGGCACATTGGTTTGGTGTTCCACCACAAATAAACACACACACACACACTCACACACACACACACACACACACATGTGCACACACAAGTATCATGTGTCTGTATTGAAAGTAAGAAAAGGAAACCAACGGGTTGTAGTAATATTATGTCTAATTTATAGTCATGAAAAGATGCAATAGTATAACTATAACTCACTTAAGACTCTTAGAAATATACAAAGATATTGTATTTCATATTTTTCAGCTCATGTACAGGTCTTCCTTTTCCAAGAGGGCATTGATCACAAAACGTGTTTGATTAATTCATTCAGTACCATAATAACGACCAAAACTGCGTGCCGCGAGGGTAGCTACTAAAGAACTTTTGCCAAACTTTAATGCGTGGATTTGTCCCATGCTCTTGCTTTTTTCTGACGTGCAGAAGTCTACGTTTGCATGGTGGTTGTATTTGTTATACAGTAAGATAAGAGATATATTTGCTATTCGTCATTAAACTCTATTCATTTCTATATGTGATGGTATTATTTTTTTCAGTATAGGTGCTCTGGGCCATTTTCAGTGATTTTTCAAAGATACACACTACATGAATAAATAATAGTTTTTACCCTTTGCATGGTCCTGAAGCAGATTTTCACTTTGGTACCAGTGGCACTGAGTGGGTTAAGTGTAATAGGATTTTTCTCTTAAATATGTAAATATTGTAAATTAGAAACGCATGCTTTGACTTGTACTGAGATGTGTATGCAAGCAGGTGGGGGTTAGAACGCATCTATTTTTTAATTTGGCAGGTCCTCTGTCTGTGTGCTGTGGATGTTAAAATATTGACTCAAATGTGCGATGATCTGGTTGAAGAAAATGGCGTTGGTTCTATCATTACCCCTGAGAAAGTCACTTTAGGCCGTATGTCCACCAAAGCTGAAACGACCCAATTTTTTGTCCGGAAGAAGCTGTTCAGTCTGTGTGTTTCTGGCTTACGTGTTCTCCAACAAACTGGCAGTTTAGAAACGACAGGACTTAACTATTGGCCAACTTAATTTGCCAGTTGTGTGTTCTTGATCATTGTCATAGCCTTGTCGCTGTACTTTTGGCCACCTTTTTCGTGAATAAACTTGTACTAGTGTTTAAATATTTCTACTATCAGTTTTTTGTCTTCCATTTTTTCCAACTGTTCTCTTCAAACTCAAAGTAAGATCTGACTGAGTAACAAATTCCACACTAGGTACTAGGTAGTAAGGTAGGCCTTTGCATGGCAGGCCACAGTCAAAGTCAAAGATGCCGTTTTTCCACAACCTCATCAATAAGTTACAAAGTTTGTATTCTCTACATGGAAAGACAAAATACACCTCTGGAACGAGTTTCTTTTCTGTTGTTTGTTTCAAACCAGTGACGTATTTAAAAGATATTTTCTTGCGCTTGCTTTTTGCGTGAAACTATATTGGTTAATTTGCCATTATGCAACTGACAAAATGATGTCACCAGCTCACAGAATTTTCAATGATTGCTAAGTTAAAAACCAGTGCTCCATTTCAACTATTGACGTGTCAGGCAGTTTCTGCTTGGTGGACACGCAACCTTACACAAACTTCCCTCACTTCACATGGGTGAGAATAGGTACCTGGTTATAGACAGTGAAAGATCTTGTCAGTTTGTTTGCATTTTAGTGCATGTAATCTACAGCTTGCACTGTATGCTTCCTGGGAAGCCAAGAATATTTTAAGTGTTCTAGGGTTTGCTTGATTAATAATCCAGTGGTGTCCACCTGACAGCAACCCAGATAAGAGAAACCTCTTCTCATTAGCAACAAATCTTTTATAACGGAATTTTCCTACAAAAATGAACCCTTATGCGTTGCGAGCGCTGTAAAACCCTCTACTATAAAAAATTTTTTTTTAAATTAACCGCTGTTTCAGTAGTAACCTTTTTCTCTAAAAGCAACCTCTGTTGCTATAAATTGTCTAACTGAAACAATTTGATTTTCGAAAACCGTGTGAACAGGGGGATTGACCCATAATTTCAGTATGGGTGCATCCCTCCACTCCTGTTAATCTCCTCTCAACACCTGCTTATGTGAAAAACACATGATTATGACGCTGAGTACAGGAGTTCAGTTCATACCACACTGCGAAAAGCCCCCCCCCCCCCCACCTTCTTTCAAAGTCTTCCAGAGGAGGACAGTCTCTTGGCTGTTGTGCATAACCGGCTATTGTGCCTGGGCTCGCTGACTTTGCCTATGTTCTCACTTTCCATCATCATAATATGCGATTAGGACCTTGTGTGTGTGTGGGGGGGGGGGGGGGGGGGACACTCACACACACACACACACACACACACACACTCACCCTCGAGAATTTAATCAACAGCAACAAAGGTTTGCTTCCCAAGAAGATTTCTTTTAGGCGTGCATCACTGTGGTTGTAAAGCGCATGGAGCATGCTGTAGAGTGTGAATATGTACTATATAAATATATATGCATTTATTTATTATATATCAATAATATCATGTAGGTGTGTCTAGTTTTCTTCTGTCATTAATTATCATCACCATCCTTAGGGTTCGTAAATTATATTTTTAAATTTGGATATATGGAAAGTAAAGGATGTTTGGTGTTGTTGTTTTTTTGTTAAATTAGAATTGTTTGCCTGTTGAGGAAATATAAAACAGATAGAGACTTATTTTATTATGCGAAGTTGATTGATTTACAGTGAATCAGTAAAATATGTACTTGACTGTGTAGTGTTGTGGCAGCATCTAAGTGTTAATGTTGTCCGCGTCCATCTTTGTGATGGCAAATTCAGATGATCAGGTCGCAGTGTGCTTGTGTCGTCTTTGCGAGAAGCCATGTTGTATTGGGTTTTAGTTGATAATAAAAGTAGCTCAAGAAAAAGTTGAATGAATGAGATTCGGTTTATGAAGATGTTCCATGGTTTAGTTTGATCTCTGTACTGTAGGGTGAATTGTAACCTTATGCAGTTGCGAGCGCTGTAAAACCTTGCCTTATTAAAACAACTGAATTGTAAACAATCTAGTCTTAGCCGTTTATGTATACTTAATTGTGTTTAATAAGATTTTTTAGGGGGAATTTTTGTTCGTTTGTTTTGGTTTTGTTTTTGCTTTTTTGTCATCTGTTTTGCTCTGTAAAACTGCTGTTTTCAATGTCAGATTTTACTGCCTGCTCAGATATTTAGTTCCCAATGGTTTTGATCAATTCAGATTATTTACTCCCCTGTCCAAATATGTGTATGCTGCTCAAAATTAATTCAGTAACAGTTACTAACTACAGTCTCACACTCTCATACTCATAGCAGAATTGGTGGGATGTCGAATTGTTTTCGTTATTTGCATGTTGTAAATACAAAGACTTTATTGTATACATGTATGTTAAATTGCTGAGCCTGAAAATCTGTGTGCGTGTTTCACTATGTGTGTGTTGGTTATTTGTGTGCCAGTCAGTGGTTTTACTAGTTTTAGGTATTTGTTTAAGTTTGAGCCTTAAACTTGACAGGAAGCATGTTTTTTTTTGTTGGTTTAATACTGTTTAAAGTTTCAAAAGGACAACTCTAACTCTAAGGACTGAGGCAGAATCTTTTTTTCGCAAGATATTTTTGAGGAGGAACTTGGTCTAGTCAGTTCTTAATAATATACTGGCAGGTACTGGTTTGTGAAGGGTTAGGGTAGACATGAATCTTATATTTTTGACCGACACATTTTTCAATTTTCTTTGTTATTTGGGCGTAAGCTAGAATTAAAGAAAACGTCAATGCCTTGTTACTATATATTGTTTGCTCATGATATCGCTCAGTCAAACGAAAGCTTACGGTCATGTGCATGAAGCACTTTTGATTTTCATGTCGTCATATTATCACACGTACAACCTACTTTTTCATTGCTTAAGCTAGAGAAATCAACAGTTTTTATACATATATGTAGTAGATCTGCGGGTCTCTGTGCATTATAAATGACATCAGGTTGCTCTTCCTTGACTCTATAAGCATTGACTCTATAAGCAACTTCATGTGTTGTGTTCTCATTTATGATAGTCTCACAGTTTTGTTTTGAGTTGGAAAGATAAGATAAGATAAGATAGTACTTTATTATCCCAGAGGGAAATTTTCCTTGGCTGTACAGGACCGTAAAAACACATGCAGGTATACATAAACATATTTAAATCATATACATTACTCTCATTAAAATTCAATAATGAAAGGAGAAGTAAAGCTGACAAAATGTACATTTACATCAAATGCATCATTCAACCACATGCAGGAATTTAAATACTAGACCTTTGGAGTTATATACAGATACATACTCTAAGAGCAGCACACATCTATGCTCATTCTGACAAAAGCCTTATGCTAGATGGTAAAAAACTTCTTTTATACTATATCTTTCTTTCTTTGTTTTTGGAGGTACATATCTGACGCTGCGTGATCTTTTGAGTTGGAAGGATTTGGAAGGAAATGTGAGTGACTGTTGCTCTACAAATGTTCCTGGGATGTGGCTAGTTTTTAACAGAAATTGATAGCAAAAAAATGTTGTCAGTTGTTATTACTGTGGATGGTTGTTGAGTGCTTTAGTGTGGTTTGCTCCTTCTAACCTATCAAACATTTTATTTCATTGTTTTTATCTCACCTCTTTCGGTTTTGTGTATTTTAGTAAGTTATCCTCTTGTATCACCTCGTATTTGCGGCACTTACATGACCTAATTGCTTTGCAGCTGGTGTAGAACTTTTATTAAAACTAAGTGTTAAAGCCCACCACTTAAGTAAAGTGAAGGCTTTTAGGCCTGGCCCCTTGAACATACAAGGCCCACAATCTGAGTCCCTGGGGGAAATTCCTAGATTTATTTTACTTTTACTGCTTCTTGTGCGTTGGCGTGCGTGTGCATGACGTGCATTTATTGTCCCTGGGAAAGGCACATTGCACAAATTTTCCTCACTTCACCCAAGTGGAAACGGGTACCCGGCTATAGACAGTGAACGATCTTGTCAGTTTGATGGTGTTTGAGCGCATGAAATTCGCAGCTCGCACTGTATGCTTCCGCAGAAGTCGAGAATGTTTCTGAGTGTTCTCAGAGGGTCTGCGTCGGTGGCCTAGTGGTTAGGCTCTCGGACTCGCAACCGTAAGGTCGTGGGTTCGAATCCCGTCAGGGGCCCGACGTTGTGTCCTTGGGAAAGGCACTTAACACGAATTTTCCTCACTTCACCCAGGTGGTAATGGGTACCCAGGTATAGACAGTGAAAGATCTTGTCAGTTTGATAGTGTTTGAGCGCGTGAAATCCGCAGCTTGCACTGTATGCTTCCCGGGAAGCTGAGAATGTTTCGGAGTGTTCTATGGTCTGCTGGGGTAATAATATAGTGTAAAGCGCATAGAGCCTGCTGTTGAGCGGGGATATGCGCTATACAAATGCTATCTATTATTATTATTATTATTATTATTATTATTGTGGAGAAGGGTAAAGTGGGGCAAGCTGCAGCACGCATGTACTTGAGACTGTATGGCTAATTTCCTTTCTGTTGCCAGTTGTGTCCATCCTTTTTAGGGCATCATTATGTTTTCCTGTTTAGCTACAGTTGTTTGTTTGTATTTCATTGCATATATGGTTGCTTTTAAGGACAAACGGGCAAACCCAGATTTCAGTGGTTTCCAGAAATCTTGACGTACACCAAAAGTGGGCATAGGAGAAGTTTGGTTTCATTGGTGTGTATTATATTTGTTTGGTTTTAGAGGAAACTCCTTGTCTCTTAAATAAACTGAACAAGGGGCAAAAACTTAACCTTCGATTTTCCTATAACAACATTTTTCGTGTTAACCCCCTTGTGCTTAAACGCGACCTTATTATTATGTCACAGTATCATATTTATTTGTGGTCACTGTAAAATGTACGCAAGTGTCAAAGTGTTATCATTAATTTAATAATATTGTCTTTTTTTCCCCCGTTTTCATTGATGTGGTTTCCTTCAGTCATGATTTTTGGTACTGTATGCTCTGTTGTTATGGTGGGTTTATCTGCTTTGGTTGGTTGTGTAATCTTCCGTTTGAAGTTTTGAGCTTCCTTTAGTGGCTGATGATTGCATCTGCAATGTTTTTGATGGAGGGGAGGAGGGTGAAGGGATACGTGCTTATAGTTTTCATAATTTTGTTTTTATTGATTTATTCATCTCCTTTGTCTTCATTATGTTCTTGACCTTCCTTTTATAACAGGGGTTGGCGACCTCTGGTTCCATGAGGGTTTGGGCCTGGCCTAATGCCTCTCTACACTTTACCATAGCTCCCCACTGTCCCGGGCCATCCGTGTTTTGTAAAGATTTTTTTGAAAAATCGCTGTTGTCCCGGAAATACGGATTTTGACCGACAGTCCCGGTAAATAAAAACTTGGCAAGCGTACTTCTAAAACAGAAAAATTAGCCTTCTGTTGCTCGGGAAAATGATGAAAATTCGGGAGATTCCCGAAAAATTCAGGAGAGTTGGCAGGTGTGCAGTTTCGACAAAGTCAGCTGATACGCATGCGCGGCGCTCGGCTTCTTCATTCGTTTGAAAAGATGGCGTCAAAACGTTCGGCCATGAGTTCTAAGTCCGACTCTGGACCAAGTAAAGCAAAGAAACCGAAAAGGCAGCAAGTTTTACTTGACAAATACAAGGTGTCCCTGATAATTAGTCAATCAATGTCCCTGATTTTGAGCAAGGCTGTCCCTGATAGCCACAGAGAGGGGTGGGTAGCTATGCTTTACGTAGTTAAAAAAGTCTGGTCTGATAAGCTTTATCGCGAATATCGTATTATAGTATCATTCGTTGCAGCAATACACTTCGTGACTGGTTTTTGAGAAGAGCTCAGTACGATGTATACACATACGTAGTAAAAAAAGTCTGGTCTGAT